GTGGGGAAAAACTGAGAACTTTCCCCCTAAGGACAGGAACACAGCAGGATGTCCACTATCACCACTGCTATTCAACATAGCATTAGATGTCCTAGCCACCACAATCAGACAACAAAAAGCAATAAAAGGCATTCGAATCGGCAAAGAAGAAGTCAAACTCTCACTCTTTGCAGAGGATATGATACTTCATGTGGAAAACCCATAAGACTCCACCCCAAAATTGCTAGAACTCATATAGGAATTCAGTAAAGTGGCAGGATATAAAATCAATGCACAGAAAATAGTGGCATTCCTATACACCAACAACAAAACAGAAAAAAGAGAAATTAAGGAGGCAATCCCATTTACAATTGCACCCAAAACCATAAGATACCTAGGAATAAATCTAACCAAAGAGGCAAAGGATCTGTACTCAGCAAACTATAAAATACTCATGAAAGAAATTGAGGAAGACATAAAGAAATGGAAAAATGTTCCATACTCATGGATTGGAAGAACAAACATTGTGAAAATGTCAATGCTACCTAGAGCACTCCACACATTCAATGCAATCCCCATCAAAATACCATCCATTTTTTTCAAAGAAATGGAACAAAGAATCCTAAAATTTGTATGGAACCAGAAAAGGCCCCGAATAGCCAGAGGAATGTTGAAAAAGAAAAGCAAAGCTGGCGGCATCACAATTCCGGACTTCCAGCTCTATTACAAAGCTGTCATCATCAAGACAGTAAGGTACTGGCACAAAAACAGACATATAGATCAATGGAACAGAATAGAGAGCCCAGAAATGGACCTTCACCTCTATGGTCAACTAATCTTCAACAAAGCAGGAAAGAAGGTCCAATGGAAAAAAGACAGTTTCTTCAACAAATGGTGTTGGGAAAATTGGACATGCACATGCAGAATGAAACTGGACCATTTCCTTACACCACACACAAAAATAGACTCAAAATGGTTCAAAGACCTAAATGTGAGACAGGAGTCCATCAAAATCCTAAAGGAGAACACAGACACCAAACTCTTCGACCTCAGCCACAGCAACTTCTTCCTAGAAACATCGCCAAAGGCAAGGGAAGCAAGGACAGAAATGAACTATTGGGACTTCATCAAGATAAGAAGCTTTTGCACAGCAAAGGAAACAGTCAACAAAACCAAAAGACAACTGACAGAATGGGAGAAGATATTTGCAAATGACATATCAGATAAAGGGCTAGTATCCAAAATCTGTAAAGAACTGACCAAACTCAACTCCCAAAGAACAAATGATCCAATCAAGAAATGGGCAGAAGATATGAACAGACATTTTTCCAAAGAAGATATCCAAATGGCCAATAGACACATGAAAAAGTGCTCAACATCGCTCAGCATCAGGGAAATCCAAATCCAAACCTCAATGAGTTACCACCTCACACCAGTCAGAATGGCTAAAATGAACAAACCAGGAAATGACAGATGTTGGTGGGGATGTGGAGAAAGGGGAACACTCCTACACTGTTGGTGGGAATGCAAGCTGGTGCAGCCACTCTGGTGGACAGTATGGAGGTTCCTCAAAAAGTTGAAAATAGAGCTACCATATGACCCAGCAATTGCACTACTGGGTATTTATCCCAAAGATACAAATGTAGGGATCCAAAGGGGTCCATGCACCCCGATGTTTATAGCAGCAATGTCCACAATAGCCAAAGTATGGAAAGAGCCAAGATATCCATTGACAGATGAGTGGATAAAGAAGTTGTGGTATATATACACAATGGAATATTATGCAGCCATCCAAAGGAATGAAATCTTGCCATTTGCAACAACATGGATGGAACTGGAGGGTATTATGTTGAGCGAAATAAGTCAATCAGAGAAAGACATGTATCATATGACCTCACTGATATGAGGAATTCTTAATCTCAGGAAACAAACTGAGGGTTCTAGAGGGGAGGGGGGTGAGGGGATGGGTTAGCCTGGTGATGGGTATTAAAAAGTGCACGTTCTGCATGGAGCACTGGGTGTTATACGCAAACAATGAATCATGGAACACTACATCAAAAACTAATAATGTAATGTATGGTGATAAACACAATATAATAATTAAAAAAAAAGTGCTTTGGGCCATCCCTGGACTGATTTCTTGAGCCTGTCTCTTCCTCTTTGTTGCTTTTGCTGGGACACATCCTCCCATACATTCAAAGAAAGGATACTTATAAAGTAAATATTATACATCTCTGCATGGCTGAAAAGGTCTTTTTCTACTATCATAGCTGATTGATGGTTTTGTTCTGCCTGGAATTCTAGGCTGAAAATCAGCTTCAGACACTTTTCTACCATATTGAAGGGTCCAGTGTTGTTATTGAATACTCTAATGCCTTTTGGGTTTTGCATACTTTTTGTGGCCTATATTTTTCTGTCTCTCTCGATAATTTTATAATTTTCTCAATCTCTAGGGTAATAGAATTGCATAATAATGTGCCTTAGTTATTGTTTCCTCATCCCTAGTGTGGACACTCAGTGCATCTTTTGTATCTGGACACACATTCCTGCTATGAGTTTTTCTTTCATTGTTTCTTTTAAATTCTTCCCCTCTGTCTTCTCTGTTCTCCTGGAAAAAATAGGAGTTGAAAGTTTTACCTCTTGCTTAGATTTTTCCTATTTTTCATTTCTTTGATTTTTAAAAATTCTACTTTCATGGAGACTTCTTTGACTCTATCTTTCAACCCTCTATTGATTTGTCTTAACTTTATTACTGTTTTTGTTTCCAAAAATAATATTTTTATTGTTTAGTTTTTTAAAGTATCATGTTCTCATTTCATGATTGCAAATATTATCTCTGATCAATGTGAAGATATCAGTGGTGATTAACAATGTAATAAAATTTTAAAAATAACAAAAAAAAGATACCAGTGGTTTTCAAAGTGAATTTTTTTGTGTTATATTAGATTCCACCAAATTGCTTTTGGCCTTCCTAAAGTCTCACTTTTTACTTCAGCATCTTATGTGTATTACAAAATTTGGCACCAAAATTTTGAACAAAATCTCTGGATCAATAGAGCAGAGCTGACCAACTGGTAGGCTTCTGATCAGAGTTTTAGCTAAGAGACAGCCATTCTATTTATGATCTCCAAAGGCAGAATGTGAAGGACTTCAATATAATTTAATTTCATAATGCAAAGAGGTCACTACTCTGTTGTGAAGTGTATACCTGTGTGAGCAATTGAAAGTGAAAAGAGAGGATGGAAGACTGAACCATTCTTGTCTCTTACTCTCCCTATTACTAGTCCTGAATCCCACCATCTCCCTTACCTGGTGTCCTGTCATCTCAAACATGTCAGGGATTCTGGAAGATAAATCTGTCTATTTCTCCTCAGTATCACCCTCAGTTGCTATTTCAGTGTTAGCCTTCTCCGTGTGGCCAAAGTAGTTGCCATACCTTTGTCTTCTCTCTTTCAAACATTTGTTGGAATATTTTGTCTGTGCAATCTAACTTCTGTCCTGTTTCCTTTGTTACTGTGAGTATAAACTTGTTTCCCCCTTGTTGTTGTTGTTGTTATCTTATTTAGATCTTAGGGGGGAAAGGGAAAACTAATGTAGCCCACAATTTAAAATATAAGTTCAGTATATTTATTTGTTTAAATAGGTATTAATAAAAAGGATAGACTGATCCTTTTCTGCAGAGGAAGGGTAATATGAAAAATATAAGGAAATGCAACAAAATGTTAGTGGTGATCATGTATGGAAAGCCTAAGTGCAGAGAAACCATTTTAAAGAGTTTTCAAAAGTCTCACTCACCAACTATTATCAACATCGTAGTATCCACCTCCAGTGAAAAGGAGAGACTGGTAAATGCAATGTTTCAGTGTGGTCACCATAAATAATATCAAGTCTCTGTTACTCAGGAAAAGAAAGGAACAATGGATACTGGAGTAACAACAGGTAGACTCTGTCACAAGAATCTCTTGGGCATCCAGTACTGTGCCATATCCGGGGAGTGGAAAAGAAGTAAGATACATTATTTATATCCTTAATAAGTTGTAGAAATGAGATAAAGCCCACTAAGGGAACAAAAACCAGAAAGAAATAAGTGTCTGAAAGCATTTTATAAACTATATGGTGGTGTGTTTAGGGCACACAGAGAATAAATGTTGGATGAAATTAATCAGGGCAGAATTCTTGAAAGATATGAGTCATGAAACAAGATCTAAAAAGTTCCTCAGAGGGTGCCTAGCTGGCTTAGTCAGTGGAGCATACAACTCATGATCTTGGGGTTGTAAGCTCAAGCCCCAGGTGGGGTATAGAGACTGTTTAAAAATAAAATCTTGGGGTGCCTGGGTGGCTCAGTGGTTGAGTGTCAGACTCTTGGTTTCAGTTCAGGTATGATCTTAGGGTCATGAGATCAAAGCCACATCAGGCTTTATGCTCAGCAGGGAGTCTGCTTGAAGATTCTCTCCCTCTGCCCCCCCATGAGCTCACACACACACACACACACACACACACACACACTCTATCTCTCTCTCTCCAAAATAAGTAATATAAACCTTTAAAAAATAAAATAAAATCTTAATAAGTAAAAAAAATTAAAATTTCCTCAGAATAAAACTGCCTTTTCTGAAGTAGGCTACCCAGCTATTCTACCCAGCTATTACACTTCTGTTTTTAAGAGAAATGGTTAGATTCCTCAGAGATATCTTTCTCTTGTAACCTCATTCTAAATCATTCAATTACAGATTAAGAAAGCTTAATTTTAACTGAAGGGGTATACAGCAGTTAAATGAGATGCTGAGTTGTAGTCTTTACTCTCCTACTCTAAAAATAAAAGAAGATAAACCTTGACAGTATGGAATGGTTTAAGTTTAGCCCACCCAAAGACAGAAAAAGAAAACCGTCTCAAATTATTGCCCATTCAATGAAACCTTGTACAAGATAGTTGAATTTTAGAGACTATTCCTTAAAATCATTAATAAGTTACAGAGCACTGAAGGTATCAGCAAATTCTCTGGTTTTGCAATTCTTCTAAGCTATCCCTTCTGCTTTTCCTTCAAGGAGACCTTGCGACTCCATATCCATTTCATGGCATTCTTTACATCCTCATTCCTTAGAGTGTAGATGAGTGGGTTTAACATTGGGGTGATGGTAGTATAGAACACAGACACAGTCTTATCTAGTGGGAAAGTAGTGGATGGACGGAGATAAATAAAGATACAAGGGACAAAGAAGAAAGTTACTACAGTGAAATGAGACCCACAGGTCGAGAGAGCCTTGCGCCGGCTCTCTGAAGACCGCTTGCGAAGACTAAATAGAATGACAGTGTAGGAGGCCAGAAGAATGAGGAAGCACCCCAGAGAGATGAGACCACTGTTGGCAATCACCAACATGTTTACCAGGGTTGCATCAGCACAGGCAAGTTTTAGGACTGGGTGGACATCACAAAAGTAGTGGTCAATGACCTGATAATTGCAGAAAGGCAGCTGAAAGGTCAGGAGGGTCTGAAAAAAGGAATGACCCAGGGCTCCCAACCAGGACAGTGATGCCAGCACAATACAAGTATTGGCACTCATGATGGTAGTATAACGGAGAGAGTGGCAGATGGCAGCATAGCGGTCAAAAGCCATAACGGTCAAGACAAAAATCTCAGCACAACCAAAAAAGTGGAAGGTAAACATCTGAGTTACACAGCCCCAGTAGGAAATGGTCTTTTTCTCGGAAACAAAGTCTGCAATCATCTTGGGTGCTGTGGCGGAGGAATAGGCAATGTCCACAAAGGACAGGTTACTGAGGAAGAAATACATGGGTGTATGGAGCCGGGGATCAGAAAAGACCGTAAGCAGAATGAGCAGATTTCCCACCATGATCACAATATAGAATAGGAGAAATAAGGCAAAGAACATCAGTTGCACTCCAGGATCTTGGGAAAGTCCTAGGAATATAAACTCAGTGACATTGTTAGCCACTTCTGTGGGGACCCAGGTGATACTTGTTTGGTGACTCTGGTTCCCTGCAAAAATAAATAAATATCATAAACCACTGTAAGCATGGCAAAGCCTAACAGGAAAATATTTAAGTGATGAAAATACTTAAGTGATCTTAAATAGTATATAAAATTCTTCATATTTCTTGAACACAGTTAATGGGTATTTTCCTCACCATTAATTTTCTTACCACATTATTTACTCACATTGTTACACGTAGGCCTATAGTTCCTTTTCCCCAAATAATAATCTAGAGAATATGAGGGGTTTTTAAATTGGATTTAATGTTCTCTAATCCTCCCTCTTTCTCTGCCCCCCCCCTCTCATTTTGCCAGAAATTCTCTTTGGGTTGGAAAATTTTAAATTAATTATTGAGTGGCTAAGTTAATTTTGGAGGGTTAAGATAAATGCAAGAAGTCAGAACCTGAGATTTGATGCCAAATTTCTGAGATGAATCTTTTTTAACATAATGTACACAGATCAACTTTAGGAGAATAACATTCTACTTAATCAAGTGAGAAAATCTGTTTTTAGTTTCTAAATTAGGTTGGAAGTTTCGGTACAATTAAAAATTAAGTTGTTTTTAGCGACCAAGAACAACCGATACAGAGGCCTCCTGCTCACCAATAACCCATGCTTACAAATCACATTGGGGGGTTTGAGTCCTAAGCCTTGATCTGCATGTGAAAATTCCATTTTGCTTACCAGTAAGGAATACCTGAGGAGTGGTCAAGCTATACAGAGAAATACTTTTCCCTGTGTTGCTCTAAAGAGTTGAAAAGTTTGAAACTTATTGAGACTCCTATCATCCTCAGTCCTTTTGCCTTGAAAAAGCCCTCTCTCTGTAATCATAGGTAAGCATCAGGAATAAAATTTCCCATACAGATAATTCTATAAATGATAGTTAAAGAATAAGTGTCTGACACCATTTTACAAACTATATACAGGGATCCTCAGGGCATGTAGATAAAAATATTGGGTAAAAATTATCAGGGAAGAATTCTTGAAAGAGATAAATCATGAGACAAGATCTAAAGAAGTTCCTCAGAATAAAAATGGCTTTTTTGAACCATTGCAAATTACTAGCTATCTTCCATCTTTGCTAGGAACACCTCTTTTCTGCCTGGATAGTGGAAGCTGAGTAATTTAAGTTTGAGCATCCCTACCAACTGGATTACTTTAAGTAAATCTATTTATTCTTTCTGAATCTCAGTTTTCTCATTTATAAAAGATGGGTGATACAGTTATTTTACTTCACAAAGCTGTTACAGAAGTAAAATGAGATCATTTGTGTAACTTTTTTTTTTATTTATGAGGTGGCTTCCTTTGTAATTTGAATCTGTGAAGTGGGATCTTTCTAGTAAGTAGAAGTTTTAATTTGATCTATTTGTCTATTATATAAAAATTATATAGACAATATATAGATTGTCTATAGACAGTAGAAATAGAAAATTTAAAATTCATCCATAATTTTATTCCTGAAGTAATAAACTATAGTATCTGTCCATTTCCATTGAAGACATATTCTTAATAGTAGTGATACTGGTAGTAAACACTTACTAAGCACTTTACTATGTGCAGGATTGTATGCTAAACTATTAGGATATGTCCCCTCATTCTATACTCACAGCAACATTGTAATTTCAATCTCCATTTTAAAGAGCACCAAATTTTTAAGAGGTTAGGTAAATCATCCAATATAACACAGTCAGTAAGAGGCTGGTATTTGAATTGAACCATCCTAATTCCAAAACCCACACAATACATATCCCCTTAAATAAATGAAAAAGGGGTAGAATGATAAGTAAACAAATGATAATGATAGATGATAAATAAATAGATGATAGATAGAAAGAAAAGTAGATGGATAAATTTCTCATGAAAAAGAATTGCATTAAAAATAATCAAGTGCTCTCTTATGGTGCAAAGTCCTTTGATTAGAGAACATGCTCCACTAAAATCTTTGAACATTCTGACACTATACCAGCAAAGCTAAATTGTGCGCAGTCATAACCAATTGACAGAATCATAAGGGTTGAGAAAATATTTAGGTAATAATAGAAAACGCTTATATTGTACTTACTGTGTGCTAAGTATTGTTCTAAGTGGTAGTGATTCACTTAATTCTCATAACATTCATACAGTGCAAGCTATCGTCATCATCCCCACTTCAGAAATGAGGAAACTGAAGCACAAAGTGCATAACTTGTGCAAGTTCACAGAGTGAGGTAATTGGCAGAGCTGGTATCTGAACCTAGGCAATGGAAAGTTTATTTTCTTAATGAATTTGCATACTGCTTGGGCTGTGGGCATCAAAATCAGCATATGTTCTTTTCCATTTGAAAGTCTTAAACTTTCTTTAAGAGTCAAAAGACACCTTTCTGCTAATCGTGAATTTTTTTAAAAAAGCTATATCCAGTTTTTACAAGCAGAGACTACAGTTGCAACTGGCAAGATCATCACAACATTCAGAATCTGTACCCAACTTGGCTTAAATTTACAATGAGAATGCAATGACTGATGTGATACTGGTCTTTAATCTTGACATTATTTCACTGACTGTGGTGACAACCAAATAGATGAGGCCCACATGTAAACCAGCAATCACAGTTCCGGAGGAGAGTCAGGAACACCTCTCCAAAGAAGGTCTTCACTGAGTGGAATTTTGAAAGGTCAGCTAGAGTTAACCTGATGATGAAGAGGACTGCAGGGTGATGACACAGAAGAGAAGACAGGGCAGGAAGGATGTTCTAGGCCTAGTTAATTAAGGTATATAAAGGGAAAGGGTATAAATCATCATAGCATCCCCTCTAGGGAATGCCAACACGTTTGATAGAGTTCATCACAGAATCCATGAAGGGAAGTGTCAGGAAGTGAGGCTAAAAAGGAAGAGGAGATCAGGTCATAGTCTTGTGGGTTAAGTTTGAGGAGTTGGAATTTATCATGAATGATATGTGGGATCATAAAGAAAGATCACTGCTGCAGCAGGAGGGCAGCGGCAGCAGGAATGGGAGGTGGTGGAGAGTAACTGTTACAAAGAAGCCTGAAACTCAGCTTTCCTAGATTCAAATTCAAGCTCCCTTATTAGCTCACACTCTGACTTCAGGAAAGTTACTTAACTTCCCTTTGCCTCAGTTTTCTCAAGGGTTAAAAGTGGATAAGAATAGTACACACTACATAAGTGCTGTACAGGTGGCACACTGTAAGTGAATATTTAATTATCATCACCCATCTTAGTGACTGGAGAACATGCTGAATGCAAGGAGGGAAAAAAGCATGGATAAGAGTCATCTTAGGATGCTAAACTTACTATGTTCATCTCCTAATTCCCATTTATATGTATCTCCATGTCTTCTATGTTTAGAAAATGTATCTACTGCTGTCACCCACTTTCTCAAATATGTTCTTTGACTAGAGTAGTACCAGAATATAGTCCATATTCTTTTGTTTAATCAATTAATTAGCATATAGTATATTATTAGTTTCAGAGGTAAAGTTTAGTAATTCATCAATTGCATATAAAACCCAGTGCTCATTACATCAAGTGCCCTCCTTAATGTCCATCACACAGTTACCACATCCCCTCCAGGAACTCTGTTTTTTTCCTATAGTTAAGAGTCTCATATGGTTTGTCCCCCTCTCTGCTCTCATTTTATTTCTCCTTCCCTTCCCCTATGTTCATCTTTTTGTTTCTTAAATTCCACATATGAGTGAAATCATATGATATTTGTCTTTCTCTGACTGTATAGTCCATATTCTTGAATGGCTTCCTTTCAGAGTTCAGGCAAGATGACCCAAAGATGTTTGGGCAGCTGCTATATTCTTCCTGAATAGTGGCTATGTCAACATTATCTGGGGTCCCCTCAGGGGCTGAGAAAACTATTCCAAGTCTAAGACCTTTTTTCTGGTCAATGGTAATTATCTAGCTAAATTCAAGGGACCAGATGAAACGAGGTCCTCTGAACTTCACCATTTTGCCTCCCTTCCCATCTGAGTTTTAGCAAACTTTAAAATGAAATTTTAACTGAAAACAGTTTAATCCATCAATACAATGGATACAATCTTTTTACTATCTTCACTGGGAGAAAGAGCACACCATTTAAAGATAGAACACTAGGGCCTGACTCAACAGCTCTGCCTCTTACAGGTTATGTGATCTTAACACAATTTTCCTCATTTCCATTAACTTCAAAGTCCTCCCCTGGGAAAGAACAATGTCACCCATGTAAAGATCAAATTAATCAGTGGACATAAAAGCAACAAGTTAACAGTAAATCTAAGTCATAACCATTTCAGTAAAAGATTTCAAAAGCATCAGTATCAAATGTCTTAACACTGTGGACGAGGGCCTATATGGATGGATCATTTTCACTGGTCTGTCCAGGTTCTTAGGTCAAATTTGGTTTCTCAGATAATGCCAAAGAATATATACTAGTTATAATGGTGTTAGAGAAATAAGATTGCTCCCTTATTTCCATTCATAAGCCCACCTAAATTACTTCAAATAAAACAAATAGCAAGACTACAACTCCCTGAAATTCTCTGGGAAAGAGATTTAGTCTTTAGTTTCATCTGTGAGTGATTTGCAAGGAAAGAGATCAAATACTCTAGATCACTTTCCTAACAGCAAGTTCCCACAGCTAGCTCTTTGTGCAATAGTGTCCTTGACGTCAATATACCTCATAGAGACATTATGACATATGCACATGTTTTCATGTCTCTGGTCACTTGACGTCATTTTATTACCTGTCAAGTCTTTGAACTTTTACCTATAGAAACATTTAAAGTCCCATTTATCCTATTCCTCTAACTGTCCACAACAGATGAAGTAACTTACTAAGTATTTGTGGAACTGAGAAATAAAGAATAATAATATAAGTAAAGTCTTGAAAAAAATCTGCACATGTATAAATGTAAAACAATGTAGACTATTCAAGGTACCCTCTATATTATCTTCTACATTTCACACAGCACTAATATTTATTTATCCTTTCAACTGTTAAATATTTTTGGTTTTTTTTTAAAGATTTTATTTATTTATTTGAGAGAGAGAATGAGAGAGAGAGAGGGTCAGAGGGAGAAGCAGACTCCCTGCCGAGCAGGGAGCCCGATGCGGGACTCGATCCCAGGACTCCAGGATCATGACCCGAGCCGAAGGCAGTCGCTTAACCAACTGAGCCAGCCAGGCGCCCCTCAACTGTTAAATATTTTTGGAGCACATTCTCTGTGTCTGGTATTGTGCTGTGAACATAAAAAATAAAACCTCATATCTGACATAAAGCCTTTCATTTTAGAGTAATACCCTTAAAAGACCTTCTCAAATCCTCTTAGATTGGACCATAACTTATGTAAAATCCTATACTTATGTAGATGAAAAAGAAACAAGCTTAGTGATCCTTGACTTTATTCTATTCATCTAACCATTGGTGAAAGCAGTGAAGTGCAGAGAGGAAATTGAATTATCTAGGCTTCACTGTTAGTGTAAAGCTAGAACTAAATTCCAATTGAAATAATATTGATATACTTTAAATTACAGTAAACTATTTCCTAAATTACTTAATAGAATTATTAGAACAGATGTTGTAAGTGGATGAAGAACTTAAAGATTCTTTTTTATCCCTGAATATAATTTGAATCAATGAAAAGTGCTCTTGCTTTTCAAGAGCATTACAGGTTGTTAACTGTCATTACAGATAGGAAACTTACCCTGGCCCTCTTCTTGAGTGTGATTCCACGACATAGATTTGGACAATATGAGATCTTCTTGGATCAATAAACCTTTCTGAGATGGAAAATGGATCTGTACCTCGATATTCACGCTAAAAGATTGAAATCTATATTCTGATGCTTCTCTTAAGTGTGTGTCGCATTTCACAAAAGGATCACACCTACAGAATGAGAAGGGGTCCTATGTTATTTATCCCCCCTACCCTCCTCTCAGAAGATTCAATGAGCTTATAGCCATGCCATGGCTTCTGATCTGGACTGTAAGACTTTACTTCTATATTCCTGACTGCCAAGAGAGAGATTCTGCCAGCAATCTTTATACATCATCACAGCCCTGAGGGAATGGCTGGCCAGGTGATTAGGTAGCATCTGGAGAATATTTTTAGGCAGAGAAAATGCAAGTATAATTCCCACTAAGGAACCCCTTGTAAAACTATATTGAAGGTTAATTGGTAAATTACTAGTTAAAAATATGCAGGCCATTTTTACAGCTTTGCACAATTTATTCAAAGTTGGTGCAAGGGAAGGTGGGTGATGCTCAGTATCACAATATTGCACCACTAGCCCAAGTATATTAGTTTATAAAACTATTAAACTGTTTTCAGTTAAAATTTCATTTTAAAGTTTGCTAAAACTCAGATGGGAAGGGAGGCAAGATGGTGAAGTTCAGAGGACCTCATTTCATCTGGTCCCTTGAATTTAGCTAGATAATTATCAAATCAGTCTGAGCACCTATGAATTCAACCTGAGATGTAAGAAAAAAATATCTGGAACTTTACAAGCTGAAAAGCCACTCTTTGCAAGGTAGGAGATATGGAGAAGTGAATCTGAGGAGATATATCATATCAGGGGGGTGGGAGGGCAGAGGGAGCCTCAGTAAGCCGGCTACCAGAAAGTGATATAGCACCAGAAGGCAAAATCAGAACCCTTAGAAATGTGCTCTAGTGAGAGACATCCATGCCTGAAAGGTGCTCAGGTGGTGAAACAGGGCAGATTTTTAGGTGGGACAGTGTGGTCTCAGGATCCCCAGAGTCACAGAAAGAACAGGGATGCCTGAACTGGTAGAGTTCCCAGCACTGGAATAGGGAAACTGGTTATGGTCAGTGAGCCCTAGAGTGGGCTGTCAGTTTGATTCACCATAAACTTTGAGCCGTGGCTGGGTCAGTTGACTGCTCTCTGCATGGGGACCCTGCAAAGGACAGAAACACAGGGGCTCTCTACCTTCCCCTGGGAGCGGGGGGTGGAACAGATATGCACATGCCCAAGAAACAGCTCTCAGGGCAGGGAGCCCTGTAAAATACAATAACTGGGGAACCTTCTGCCTTCCCCCAGGAGGATCGGTGTGGGCGCACACTGGAGGAGTCTGCAGAGTTTGGCACACACAAAAGTGAAGACCATTTATCTCTGAGGGTTTACTGAAGGTGGGACAATGATCTTTCGGCTCTGGGGCTGGAGATCCAGGCATGGCCATTTTTATTTTGATTCTCTAAAGGGGTGCTGAAAGCCTTCAGGGAACAAAAGCCACACAGAGCAACCAAACACAGCTTACACTGAACCCAGCCCCCTGGCAAGGAGTAGTGCACCTCTGCCCAGGCAAAGTTGCCTGAGAATCAGCACAGCAGGCCCCTCCCTCAGAAGACCAACTGGAAGAACAGGTGAACAGCAAGTTTACTGGCAACACAAGTCTATAAAACTCTAGCACTAGAAGAAAATAGTGTATGGAATTCAAGGTTTTCTCTCATGATTCGTTTATCTTTCAGTTTAAAATTTTCCATTTCCAGGCACCTGGGTGGCTCAGATGGTTAAGCGTCTGCCTTCACCTCAGGTCATGATCCCAGAGTCCTGGGATCGAGTCCCGCATCGGGCTCCCTGCTCCTCGGGATCCTGCTTCTCCCGCTGCCTCTCTCTCTCTCTCTGTCTCTCATGAATAAATAAATAAAAATCTTTAAAAAAAATAATAAAATAAAATAATTAAAATTTCCATTTCCTTTTTTTCTTTTTGCCCCTTTCAACTAGTTTCTTATTTTACCAACCTTTTGTTTTTAAGTCTTTTTTTAACTTTCATCTTTTACATTTACATGTTATAGATATATTCTTCATTTCTGGCTCCTTTCACTCTATTCAATTTTATTTTTGTATATATATATATGTTTTGCTTTCTTTACAATTTTGGGATTTCGTGTCTTCTAACAGAGAGACCAAAATACACTCAGGACCAAGTGGATCACCCTGATTCGTCCACCCTATGAGATTATTCTCTCTTCCACCCTCCCTCCCCTTTTTTTGGTCTTTTTGTTTGTTGGTTGGTTTGTTCTTTTTATTTTTCTCTTTCTTTTCTTTTCTGGTTTCTGACCTCTTTGGATTTGTCCAGTGTGTACTTTGCTTGGGTCATGATTGATATTTTTGATAGTGCTCACTCGTTCATCCATTCTTCTCTGCATAAAATCACTAAAAGGAGGAATTCACAACAAAAGAAAGAACCAGAGGAAATACTCTCTGCCACAGATCTAATTGATATGGATATAAGTAAGACGTCAGAGATGGAATTCAGGATAACAATTATAAAGTTACTAGCTGGGATTGAAAAAAGTATAAAAGACAATAGAGAATCTCTTAGTGCAGAAATTAGATCTAATCGGGCCAAAATTAAGAAGTGCTCTGAGATGCAGCCTAACTGGATGCTCTAACAACTAGGGCAAATGAGGCAGAAAACAGAGTAAATGACATAGAAGACAAGTTGATGGAAAGGAAGGAAGCTGAGGAAAAGAGAGACACAACTAATGGATCATGAGGGGAGGCTTCAAGAAATCAATGATAAACCATGAGAGACTATGGACTCTGAAAAACAAACTGAGGGTTCTAGAGGGGAGGGGGGTGGGGGGATGGGTTAGCCTGGTGATGGGTATTAAAGAGGGCATGTTCTGCATGGAGCACTGGGTGTTATACACAAACAATGAATCATGGAACACTACATCAAAAACTAATGATGTAATGTATGGTGATTAACATAACATAATAAAAAAAAGAAATCAACGATACCATAAAATGAAACAATATCAGAATTATTGCAGTGTCCAAGGAGGAAGAAAGAGAAAGAGGACCAGAAGGTATATTTAAGGAAATCATAGCTCAGAACTTCCCTAATCTGGGGAAAGAAACAAGAATTCATGTACAAGAGGTAGAGAAGACCCCTTCCAAAATCAATAAAAATAGATCAACACCCTTACATAATAGTGAAGCTTGCAAATTTCAGAGATAAAGAGAAAATCCTGAAAGCAGCTCAAGACAAGAGGTTTCTAACCTACAGGGGTAGGAATATTAGACAGCCATCAAACCTATCCAGAGAGAAATGGGAGACCAGAAAACGGTGGCATGATAATATTCAGGGTACTAAATGAGAAAAAAAAATGCAGCCAAGAATGCTTTATCCAGCAAGGCTGTCATTCAGAATGGAAGGAGAGATAAAGAGCTTCCAGGACAGACAGAAACTGAAAGGATAGGTGATCACCAAGCCAGCCCTGCAAGAAATATTAAGGGGGATCCTATAAACAAAGAGAGAGCCCAAGAGTAACACAGACAAGAAAGAAACAGAGACAATCTACAGAAATAGGGACTTTATAGGTAATACAATGGCACTAAATTCATATCTTTCAAAAGTTACTGTGAATGTAAATGGGCTAAGTGCTCCAATCAAAAGATACAGAATATCAGATTGGATAAAAAAGAAAGAAGCATCCATATGGCGTAGACAACAGACTCATTTTACACCTAAAGACACCTAGACTGAAAGTGAGGGCGTGGAGAATGATTTATCATGCTAATGGACCCCAAAAGAAAGCTGGGGTTGCAATCCTTATATCAGAAAAATTAGATGTTAAACCAAAGACTGTAGTAAGAGATGAAGGGGGACACTATATCATACTGAAAGGGTCTACCCAGTAAGAAGATCTAACAAGTATGAATATTTATGCTCCTAATTTTGGAGCAATTAAGTAAATCAACTAACTAATAACCAAATTAAAGAAACATATTGATAATAATACCATAATAGTAGGGGTCATCAACACCCCACTCACAGCAATGGACAGATCATCAAAGCAGAAGATCAACAAGGAAACAAGGGCTTTGAATGACACACTGGACCAGATAGACGTCACAGGTATATACAGAGCATTCCATTCTAAAGCAGCAGAATACACATTGTTCTCAAGTGCACATGGAACTTTCTCCAAAATAGAACACATACTGGGTCTCAACCGATACCAAAAGGTTGGGATTATTCCCTCCATATTTTCAAACCACAATGCTTTGATACTTGAACTCAATCACAAGAGGCAATTGGAAGGAACTCAAACACTTGGGGTTAAAGAGCATCCTACTAAAGAATGAATGGATCAACCAGGAAATTAAAGAAGCATTAAAAAAATTCATGGAAACAAATGAAAATGAAAACACAACTGTTTAAAAACTTGGGATACAACAAAGGTGGTCCTAAGAGGGAAGTAAATACCAATACAAGTCTTTCTCAAAAATTAGAAAAATCTCAAATAAACAAGCTAACCTTACACCTAAAGGAGCTGAAAAAGAACAGCAAATAGAGCTTAAACTAAGCAGGAGATGAAAAATAATAAAGATTAGAGCAGAAAACATTGAAATAGAAATCAGAAGAACAGTACAACAGGTCAACAAAACAAAAAGCTGGTTCTTTGAAAGAACTAATAAGATCGATTAACCCCTAGCCAGACTTATCTTAGAGAAAAGAGAAAGGACCCAAATTAACAAAATCATGAATGAAAGAGGAGAGATCAAGACCAACACCAAGGAAATATAAACAAATTTAAGAACATATTATGACCAACTACATGCAAACAAATTAGGTAATCTGGAAGGAAGGCATGCATTCCTGGAAACTTATAAACTACCAAAACTGTGGGATGTCTGAGTGGCTCAGTTGGTTAAGTGACTGCCTTCAACTCAGGTCATGATCCCAGTGTCCTGGGATCAAGCCCCACCTCAGGCTCCCTTCTCAGCAGGAGAGTCTGCTTCTCCCCCTTCCCCTGCTCATGCTCTCTCTCTCTCACTCACTCTCTCTCTCTTTCAAATAAATAAATAAAATCTTAAAAAAAAAAAATACCAAAACTGAAACAGGAAGAAAGAGAAAATCTGAACAGACCAATAACCAGGAAGAAAATTGAAGCAGTAATCAAAAAGCTCCCAAAAAACAAGAGTCCAGGGCCAGATGGCTTCCCAGGGGAATTCTACCCAACATTTGAAGACGAATTAATACCTATTCTACTGAAGCTGTTTCAAAAAATAAAAATAGAAGGAAAACTTCCAAACTTGTTCTATGAGGCCAGCATTACCTTGTCCCCAAACCAGACAAAGACCCCATCAAAAAGAAGAATTACAGACCAAAATCCTTATGAATATGGTGGAAAAATTCTCACCAAGATACTAGCCAACAGGATCTAATGGTACCTTAAAAGTATTATTCACCACGAACAAGTGGGATTTATTCCTGGGATTCAAGGGTGTTTCAACATTCACAAATCAATCAATGTTATACACTACATAAATAAAAGAATGGACAAGAACCATATGATCCCCTCAATAGATGCAGAAAAAGCTTTTGACAAAGTACAGCATCCTTTCTTGATTAAAACTCTCCATGGTGTAGGGATAGAGGGAACATATCTCAATATTATAAAAGCCATCTATGAAAAGCCCACAGTGAATATCATTCTCAATGGGGCAAAACTGAGAGCTTTTCCCTTAAGAACAGGAACATGACAGGGATGCCCACTCTCATCACTATTGTTCAACATATACCAGAAGTCCTAGCCCCAGCAATCAGACGACAAAAAATAAAAGGCATTTAAATTAGCAAAGAAGTCAAACTCTTACTCTTTCCAGATGACATGATATTTTATATGGAAAACCCAAGAGATTCCACCCCAAAACTGCCAGAATTCATACACGAATTGAGCAATGTGGCAGGATATAAAATTAATGCACAGGAGTCAGTTGCATTTCTATACACTAACAAAAGGACAGAAGAAAGTGAAATTAAGGAACTGATGCCATTTACAATTGCACCAAAAACCATAAGACACCTAGGAATAAACCTAACCAATGAGGTAAAGGATCTGTACTCTAAAAACTACAGAACATTTATGAAAGAATTTGAGGAAGACACAAAGAAATGGAAAAGCATTCCATGTTCATAGATTGGGAGAATAAATATCATTAAAATGTTTATGCTACCCAAAGCAATCTACACATTTAATGGAATCCCAATTGACATTTTTCACAGAGCTGAACAAATAATCCTAAAATTTGTATGGAACCAGAAGAGATCCTGAATAGGCAGAGGAACTAATCATCGATGAAGAAGGAAAGAATATCCAATGGAAAAAAGAGAGTCTCTTCAACAAGTGGTGTTGGGAGAATTGGACAGCCACATTC